CACAAAAGCCAGGAGGTTGAACCATGTACACCTCCTCCTCTAGGTCACCATTTAAGAAGGCATTTATATCAAGTTGATGCAATTCCCAATCAAGGTTTGCAACCAAAGATAGAAGAATCCAAATTGAGTTCATCTTAGCTATTGGAGCGAATGTCTCACCATAGTCAACACCGTAGACTTGAGTGTGCCCTTTTGCTACCAACATTGCTTTGTACCTTTCAACTGTCCTGTCCGCCTTGTGTTTCATTGTAAACACCCACTTACACCCCACTAAGTCTTTCCCTTTTGGAAGATCCACCAATTCCCAAGTCCGATTCTTATGGAGGGCATTAATCTCCTCCTTCATAGCATCTATCCATTCAAGACATTTTAAAGCCTCTGCAACATTTCTAGGTACGGGGATGCTATCAACTGCATATAGGAAGTCACAGCAAGAAGAGGTATAGGACACATACTGGATAATGGGGTGTTTGGTAATGCATGACCCGACTCCTTTTAAGCAATAGGAATGTCAAGGTCATTCACAACTGAAGTGGGAGCCAGGGTATCAACTGGTGCAATAGTGCCTAGTTCATTTGGACTTACCTCCTGGGAATCTAAAAGTGTTGGTTGCTCAATGTTTGGTGGCTGCACATCTTTGTCACATTGTTGATCTCTACAACGTGTACATTGGAAGACACAAAAAAAAGCAGGATTCAAAATAGAAGGAAGAGAGACTTGATGGACCTGGACATGCTTCTCCTCTTCCACGTTACTCCCCCCTTGAGGAGTAGGGAAGAATGGTTCAAACTCAAAAAGGAGGCATCCATAAAAACAAAAAATTATGACCAACGGGATCAAAGCACCAATAACCCTTTTGAGAGGAGGGATACCCCAAAAAGATACATGGGAATAGAAAATTAAGGAAAATAAGGGAACAACAACTGATGAAGGGCATTGTAGTTCAACACTCTGGAGGGTATGTGATTGATGACATTAGGAGCAACAAGTAAAGCATCTATCCAAAAAACGTTTTGGTACATTCATGTGTAACATCATCCCTCATGCTACCTCAAGGAGGCGTTTGTTATTTTGTTCTACAAGACCATTTTGTTGTGGTGTTCTTGCACATGAAATCCTATGAATGGATCCATGAGAAGCAAAGAACTCATTGAGCTCACCATGGAAATATTTGTTTTGCATTATCTGATTGAAAAATTCGAAAATCAACACGAAACTGTGCAAACACCATTCTCTAGAAATCTCTCACAATCTTTGGAACTTCGTCTCTGCTACGCATGGGAAATACCCATGTATAGCGGGAAAAATCATCAATCAATGTGATAAAGTACTTATACCCACCCTCCAAAGTTATAGTAGTAGGCCCACACACATCAAAATACACTATATGGAAAGGCAAACTTGATCTTTTAGTACTTGAATGTAATATTATTCTACATTGCTTGCTCAACTAACATGTTTGACACTGGAAACCTGACACTAAACATGACTTAAATAAATAAGGAAACAAAGACTTCACTATTTGAAAAGACACATGACCTAACTAATTATGCCACAAAAAAAGACTCATTTGATTGACTTTGCGACTCTGAGGATGGCACCAAGAAACCAACCTTGTTATCGAGAGTGTAGAGACCATCCACTAAGCTTCCTCCACCAATCATCCTCCTAGAAGTTAGATCCTAAAAAACACATGAACCAAGAAAAAAAGTTACACTGCAATTTAAAGAGTTCATGATACTACTAATGGAAAGCAAATTGATGGGAAGTTAAAGGACATGCAAAACATTGTTCGGGTTAAGTCCCCGAGGAAAGGATATCAATCCTTGGCCTACAATGGAGGAGAATGATCCATCTGCACGTCTTACTTTATCCCTTCCTAACAAAAAGTTATAAGGCTGAAAACGGATTGGCTTACCAGTCATGTGGTTAGAGGCCCCTGAGTCAAGACCTAGAGGGAATCAATGATAATGGAGACATGAAAGGCAAAGATTGCATTACCTAATGTAGACACAAATGAAGTAGAAGGGGTACTAGTAACTAAATTGTCTATCCGGTGCAAGGCCCTTCCATATGATTCCAAATGACTATGAAAGGAATTCACGATATCTTCCTTAGGGTCAAAACCAGTGAAGTGCTCCCGAGCAGTACCAATTGACACCCCAGCAGACTGAGTATCTTGAGTTGCCACATTTTTTTGCATTATGTGTTGTATTAGGCTTCTTTTGACCATGCACTTTACCCTGTTCTTGGTTTTTCACAGCCCACTTTGGCGTCCCATAGAGCTCCCAGCATGTGTCACGTGTATGTCTTGAATGCCAACAGTGGATACAGAACAACTTGTCCTTATCAACTTTCTTGGAGTCATTTTTCTTTCCCATATTATTACCATCCATTGCAGCTAATGCCACCTATTGCTCCCCCTCAATTGTAACCATCACACTCCGCCTACTTTCCTTAGACTGAACAAGGGCATACACCTCTTCAACTAAAGGCAACTCTTTACTTCCTAAAATATGAACTCTAAGAGGTTCATATACGGGGTTTAGTCCTAACAAGAAGGCAAAAACCTGTTGTTGAGAAACCAGTTTCTTATTGGCTTTAACATCATCAATATGTTTCCATTCTATAGCCTAATAGTCCTTCCATACTGAAGTAAGAGCTGAATAATAGGCTAACAAATTACGGTTCCCCTGTTTATAGGTTGAGGATCAACTTGTAACTGATAAATCTTGGCATAATACCTTTGCTCAAAATAGGTGGTTTTGGCTTGTCCCCACATCTCACAAGCAGTGCCTGCCCATATAAAGTTCTTCTTCACATTAGGTTCCATAGTTGCAAGAAGCCAAGACATCTTCGTACTATTTTCTTGGTCCCACCTATCATGCTCAGTTGTCCAACTCTTGGGTTCTTTCAATCTTCTATTTATATAACTAGTTTCTCCTTGTTACATAAGGTTTTACACCTTTAACCCATTCCAAGTAGTTCAAGCCGTTTAAAGGGGTAATCGGCATAGGAAACATCATATTTTCAGCTCCCATACCAGTTGTACTACAGGTTGATGCAACTCCAGAGGAGGCAGAATCATCATTTGCCATTGGAAGAAACAAAGTCTACAAGACAAAAACAAATCCCACAAGTGCACAAGACCAGTCCCCACTCAACTACTACCTCTCACAGTCACATTTAGGCCACTAAACACCAAAAATTATGCTTCTGAAATAAAGAACACACTGCTGAAGTCTACTGGCAGCAACTAAACAGTTCAAAAAAAAAAAGAAAACACTGTTGTATCCACTTGCAGCAAATAACAATCTAAGAACAGTCCACCAATTTAAATTTCAGTCACCATTGGACTACACACTTCACAGACCAACCAATCACAGCACATACCTGTGACAAAGGGGATCACACACCCCTGTACAGCACCTGTACAAAGGTGCAAATCCAAGACCAAGTCTCCACAGTATCGGCCAAAGGAAAGAAGGAGCCTTCACAGCATCGGCCCCCTCCTACTAGGGTTACCTTGGTGCTATGGCCAAGGAAGAACCCAGAAGAAACAACAAGAGGTGGTTCTGATCAATCCGATTAGGGTTTCTTGTCCACTGTCCAAGAAATCAGAAAACTGGGTTGAATGGATGTGACTCAGAGAAGAAAAGAGACTCCTATTGCCCAGACTTGCGCTCTGATACCATGTTTTCTTTCTAGAAGAGACAGAGAAGAGAGAGGGGAGGAGAGAAGAGAGAAGAGAAGAGAAGAGTAAGAAAAATGTTTGGGAGCCAAAAGTTTGGACTGGCAGCGCCCAGCTTCTAATTTATAATAACATGATGTAAAAATAAAAGAAAAGGGAATTACAAATATGCCCTTGGCAGCACACCCTAATAATAAAAAACTTAAACAAAGTAAAGAAGATGCTGACAGCACCCTAGACTGACAGCACTCTTACAGCAAAAATAAAACTAAATCTAACAACAGAATTGTCATTGGATGAGGTATTAGGAGAAACCCGCTTTTTTTTATCAGTGAAATCTGATTTTTTATCAATAACTGCAAATTTTGTTAAAATGAAAAGTAGGTAAGTTAAGCAAATTTCATTAGGAGAAATCTGACTTCTTTCTCCATGGTTCCTTCCCTGCTCCAAGCTTGCATCAGATTCTTATCTAGTCATTTGTTCTCTCAATCAGGTGACTTAGACTCCTTTCCTGGATGAACTGCCTGTGTAGAGATGGTATCCAATCCATACATCCATCAGATAGGAGATTTTGGATTGGCCAGGCATTAACCAATGTTTTGACAACCAGACTGGATTGGCCATTTGAGCTGGAGAAAAAACCAAATCTATTCCATTCTGATTCAATGAAAACAGGGTAGTTTTGCTGTTGTGGGGTAAAACCAAGAAAACCTGGAACTGGATCCCTTTACGGTTCAATATCTGGTTCAGGTTTTAAAGCATTGCATTTGTATAGGAGATTCCCAAAAGTGATATTAGCCATCCTAAACTCCAAGTCAAAAAAAATGCCATCAAAACGAATCTAATTGTGTAGATGGAGATAGGGATTCTAGGCTGAAACTTGCCCCATGAAGCAAACCCAGAGGAAGAAAGATGGTGCTCTTTTAGGCCAATGAAATTCCCAAGCCTATTAGACATCTTCACAAAATGAGCCTAATTAACAATCATGTATCCATATGCACCCCAATCAGAGATCTTCTAGATGTTTTCTATAAGACTATCAAACTGATAGCCATCTCAGAGTATACAAAAATATACATGTGCATACATATGCATATACATGCACACTTAATAGCATAATTACCTAAGCCAAGATTTCCGTAAAATCTCATAGCATGATGCCTGCTTATCATAAATCTTTCATGCAGAACAAATGTGGCATGTAGTCACTCATTAATGATCTAAACTTTAATAAAAAAGTATGTAAAAGGAACATGAGAAAATAAGCATAAAATTAGGAACTAAAATAACTTATTGATAAAAATATTACCGGATATCTTTCAGTCCTTCTTCAGCTCCAAAAACAGCCTCTTGGTTGTCTCTCCTGCTTGAGAAGGCTGAAATGCTACCATAAGCAAAGTCCAAGTCCTCCCCCTATCAAGTTTAATCATGATATAATATACATGAAGTCAGACAAGTGCTTCTGCATCAATAAAAGAGCAGCAGCATGATGACATACAAAAAAAGATTAGGAATCACACTACCAAATAAGTCCTGTTTTGCAAACAGAAAAAATAAATAAATAAACAATATGTTGTAACAAATATCTGACAATACATGGCTTAATTCAAGTGAACCCACAGGGCATGTATGAACTTACAGTTCAAAAGAGATATGGCCCTTGATAGAGTGGAATTGCAAAACAGCATTTATAAGGAAAAGCAACAAATACTCCTCTAAAAGAAACATATCAACTACTACGAGATAAAAGTTGTAAGCTATATTATGGAACTTCAGGGGAGAATAAACAATTTAATTATGACATGAAAACAAGAATATCAAAAATGATCAACTTTATGCCACGAGGGTCGGTTATCAAGAGGAAAGCACTGAAGATAGAAGGAGGGAGGGAGGGAGGGAGAGAGAGAGAGAGATTAGACAGAACACCCAATTACCCATATCAGTATCTGTATCCTGAAAGAAATAAATAGTATGTATGCTAATGATGTTAGTTACCATATCCACATTTAGATATGGACAGATTATGATTATAACACTACACTCTATTTCTTTATCTATAGAAAGAGTGGGTAACATTTAATTGCATGTAAGCATGCAACAATAGAGGTTCTCTGTTGTGTAAACATAAAAAAAAAAAAGAGTGAAATTATAAGAAGAGGGGAAAGGGTATGGAAGGAATTCAGAGAGCGAAGGATATGAATGTGCATGACTTGATCGTTGAAGGAGATCCACAGTTAGTTATCAATTGGCTTCTAAAAATGGGAAACAATTTATGATTGTACATAGATGAATTGAAAAGGTTTAAATGGTGGATTAGGGGTATGGTTGTAAAAGTCCAATGGGTGCATAGGTCAGCCAACAGCATCACTGATTCCTTAGCAAAACAAGGGGTTGGGAGGAATCAAATGCTTTGGGCTACCTTGTAATTTAGAGTTGAGACAAATTGGAGAAAATATGTTTTATCTCCAACTGCTCCTTGTACCTTCTGCTCTATTGCTTTCAATATTTTAATGAAAGTTCAGTTACTGATCAAAAAAAGATCAATGGTACCCCAATATAACAAATACCAAAAATGGAACTAAAGAATACCTCTAACAGCTTTCCTTCTTCTAGAAACTGTTCATACCTGCATGGAAAATTTAAAGAACCATTAGTTAGAGAATTAGTTAAACTCTCTATGTGCAATGCACATAGAGGGATCACATTTCTTTTGTTTTTCAAAATTAATAGAGATCATGATTATCCACTATAAAAGGTGAAATAAAATAGTTGATTTTCAATACCCAAAGAAAAGATTAGGAAATGCTATATAAAGTAGCATTTAATTCAAGGCCCCATTTGGCATGTCTTTCCGCGCGGTCTATCAGCTATTTACAAGCTCAGCAGACCGCGATTCAGTCTATTCCCGTTTGGTTCGTGGTAGATCTAGCCGCCAAAAGCCGCCGTACCGAAAAGACACAAGAAGCCCAAAATGGGCGATTTTCGGGAAGCTCCAAATGGAGCTTTTGCATTTTTTTTTCTATTTGTCTTTGTGCAGAAAGACGCACGGAAAGACACTCCTAAACCAAATGGGCTACAGGCTGCTCAGATCTTAATGCAAAAGCTCAATGCATCTTTTGAATGTCAGAACTACCAAAAGATCTTCCCAAAAAGACTTGCCAAACGGCCCCTTGATCTTTACTTTGAGAGTGGAATTATAAAACAAACTTGTTTGGAGAATTAATTATTATACTAATCAATAAAAGTGTCTAACATACTATACTTAAATGGCAAAAGTATTGAAAAGAATCAATAATAGTATTATTTATTTGGATGGGCAAGATTGTCCTTGAGAAATCAAGAAGCAATGACACAACTAATTGCCTGATAGGCTGATAATCCTTTTGCTAGCCAGTGTAACATAGAAGGGGAAGAATCATAAGGACGAAAAAAATAACAGAAAAGGTAAGTAAAATAAGCATGAGAATGTGTGTTCAAGTGTAAAAAAACCACTAAATGACAAAACCCGGTTCTGTATCCAATGAGTCCACCCCTCCCAAGACTCTAGTTAGCTAGGGCCAACATTGAGCAAAGCCCTTTTCTTTTATTAACTTTCCACCATACAATGCCAAAAAAATATGAATTTGTACTAATGCCCCTTACAGAAGATAAATAATCATCCTTTTAAGGTAAAGAAAATTGCATTACCAAAGGAAAGATAAGAGGGCAGAGCAGATACCCTATAGGAAAACTTAAAAGCCCATGAGACTGCTTGATAACAGCTGAAGTGGTAGTACTGAATGGTGAATAAGATATTAAGTTGGTTGTGAGCTCCTTAATGACTGAAGATGAAGTTGAGTTGATTACCATACCCTCAGTTTTTATCAGTAAGCATCAAAATTTATTGACTATGAAATAAAGAATAACTTACATACAAACATGCCAAGCAAAGCAACCCCCAGCTATAGGTTAGCAATAAGTCAGTTCAGCCACCTCGGCCATTATCAAATGGCCCCTAAGTAAAACTAATTAAAAACAAAGAGAGATTTCCAATCATTACAAAAAATTTAGAAATTCAACCCCATGGAATAGATAATCAGGCATGCCCAAGTTGCAAAACATCTTAGGCAATTAAACATTGCTAACTCCTATTACTAAATATTTTTGAACTAAAGATCTGTTGGGATTTGGAAGGGTATAATTTTTTGGATGAATAATATGATGCTGCAGCAGTACATTACATTCATAATTTGAGGGCATACCCCAACTATCCCTCCCCTCAGCAAATCTATTACAATTGAGCCCAGAAAAGTTGTCGTCTATTGACCTCTTGTTTAGCTAGAGTATCCATTGAATAATATTCCTTGTGAACCACCTGAAGTGCCTAATTTCTTTTTTATAAGTCCACAAAGCTCAGTTTCCCTCCATCAACCAGATGATCACCACTAGAGTCTCCTTCCACTCCCAACTCCCTAAACCTTTAGCACCCCATTCAATGCCTGCTGCCATAAGTTCTGCAGCTTGTGCCCCGATTGCATTTGCTTTTTGTTTGATAAAACCTGATTGCATTTGCTTCACCTATTGGTCCTGAGCACATCGCAAGAATGGAGGATCATACTTCCATGAAGGCTATTGAGAGTCTTCAGAAATTTGATATTCTACGTGCATTCAGAAAACAAAAAAGGGCCAGATGAAAAAATACAGGATATAGAATTGGCTTTCATTTGTTATTGATTTCCCCTATGAGTTTTTCAAGTTATTGGAAAGGGGCAATGAATTCTGCACAGATTGACTGAAAGTTCCTTTTTAATTTCCCTTTCTGGTAAAAGAAAATTCAAGGTTACCCAATAACAAGAAGAATAGGTTCAGGAACAGTTGCCATGTTTAGTACTGCCTCCTCTGGTGAAGCCAGAAGCAGACTTACCGTGCATATGGTTAAAGAGAACCTACTCCAGCTGACCTCAACCAACAATTCTTTATTCAATTTGTGGTTTTCCTCGTTTTCACCTTTTAGTACATTGTCCAGGACGAAGTAAATGACACAATTAACATATACTACACCTTTTCCTCTTTAATTTATTTCCAAAGATCCACGAACCTCGTGATTTTACAGTAACCCAAATATGGTTAGCTTGAACCACATCCATAAAGAAAATACAATACTAACAACATGTTCTCATATTCTATCCTTCACTGCCTTGAGAGGAACATGTTCTCAGGGAGATGATAATGACGATGCCAAAAAGCCCTAGTACGAACCTAAATATATCCAAATGCAACAACACGGATTCAACCTTCGATAGTTAAAAGAGAAATTAGAGCAGAAATTACTGGGAGAGCTCAGCGGGGGAGAGAACATTGGTGGAGCGGAGATTAGAGCAGATCCACTCAAGGAGCGGTCGAGCCTCTTCGTACTGGAATGGCCATTCGAAGCTGTCTGGATCCAATGCCTCGTGCCCTTCGTACCCCAACTCGCCCAACAGACTGCAGAGTCTCGCTCCGCTCATTGTCTATTTACAAAATATGCTTCTCTACTGGCTTGGGGCCGGAGCAGGAGAAGGGATTGCTAGTCACGTCAGACCCACTTTACAGAATGAAGTGTTCACCGGATTCCCCAGATTCCGATTAGATTCGTTGAGCTGAAAGAAAACAGGGTCAGAGTATCCTTCACAGACCTGCGTTGCAAAATTGGAGACGAGCGCGGGAGCGGTACATAATCCTCCTCGTGTTTTGATGGCTCAAAAAATATTCTGCTGGCTGAGCCGAATACCAACAGTTCAAAATTATTTCTCTGGAACAGAAGAGAACATTACATTGTCCAAAAAGTTCATTTCTGCTGTGCCAAACGTCTCGGGACTTTCTTACAACCTCCAATGAGACGCTGACACGATCCCCAACACCAATTATTATTATTATTATTATTATTATTATTATTATTATTATTTTATAAACCTCATAAAGCTTCTATTATTTATAAAATAATAGCAAAACATTACATACGTTACCTGACTGTTCATATGTTCGACTACGATATTATATTTATAAGCATTATAGGCAAGTTCATGTGCAGCCCTATTCATATTTCTATTACATGGGCTATTACAATTATATCAAAAAAGGATAAGAGATAACGAATATTTTGGTTGATGTTGTGAACTTGCCACTCCATTTCTTTATCTATATAGATACTTTTGACCACGCTTAGAAAATATAGTCAATCTCTTCATCTTCATCTTTATGGCATATTGAATGCCATGTAAGGGAGCCCACCATTCGGCTTGAATGGGGGTTGGCAACTGTAACCCTTCTACTACCTGAGAAGACCTCCCTATCGTTTGCTATTATGATCCAAACTCCTGTTCCTGCCACGCCATATGAAGGGTTAAAAGATCCGTCGATAAACAATTTGAATTGAGCAACTAAAATGATATGGGAATGCATGAGTGACGGATGGGGGGACTGTATTGCTTCATTTGGGACTAAATATCAGCATGTGTGATGGATTAAACGTGCTGGGTTGATGATTTTCTTCTTATGCTCTGCTACATTTCTCATATCCCATATTAATCTGAACACTATGAGGAATTTTGCAAAGAACTCTTGTTTTTCTTCCTTACACAGGCAGCTTAGTTTAGAAATCGTCCATTCATGTATAATCAATCATATAGAGCTCCTTGTCTTTTATGAGTTATAGGTTTATTCCCAATTTTGCTGATAACCATAATGCCCGAGCATAAGGACACTCAAAGAACACATGTTGCCAAGTTTCTATTTTGATTTTGCACAAAGAGCATTTTCTCTCATCTTCAGCAATAGAGCGCCATTTGTCTTTAGTGGAAATCCCATTTCACCATGCCTTCCACATGAATAGTTGAAGTCTCATAGGAATTTTACTTTTCCATATAAGATTCCAATCCCATTGGTGTCCCGAAGATGAGGCCTGTTTTGACATGAAGAAGTTGTAGCCGGTCTTAACCTCGTATTCACCCGATTTTAAACTCTTCCAGATGATTTTATTAGAAGATAAATGATGAGAGATAGGGTGTGATGAATTTGACTGTGGCATTCCTCCTTAAGAATTGATTCAATTTTTCTACTATCCCACTCTCCCGATGTGGTGATGATTTCATTCACCTTTAGACTCTTACAAGAGTGGCAATTTCGGGTTTTATGTCTGGGATGCCATTAATAAGAGAGGGAACCCATGGATCTGAAATAAAAGCTTGTGCCCCATTTTTTGACTTGCCATACTGTATTTTGTTTTATGGCATCCCATAGTTGTAGAACATTTTTCCACCATCCCGAATCCATTTGTTTCTTTTTTAGGGAGTAAATGGATTGATTTTTTATATCTTTTGCCTTTATTGCCTCCCTTCATAGTCCTTTTTCACTGGACCATAAATCTCCAAATTTGTTTACAAAATAAGGCTTGGTTAAACTCCTTCATTCTTCTGAATCCTAACCCACCAGTTTTTTGGGTTGACAAAGAGTTCCCCTTGGTATAGTGTGCATTGCTCTGTGATTTGCCGAGCCATCCCACCAAAAATTTCTCTAAACTTGCTTTAACTTTTTCAGAGTGGTGCTTCAGAGGATTGAGGTTCCCATAATGTAGTTTGGCACTAACTGCAAAGTTACTTTCCCCCAAGAGCAAGTTGAGTCCCCAAATATTTATCTACTTTATTTAATTTTTTCATGTGAAGTAGAGCAAGGAGAAATTTTACCTTTTTCCTATGCATCCCTGGACTGAAATACCCACCAGTTTTTTTACCTAAAATCCTTTCAAATTCTTTCAATACTTCCAATATTTCTTGTACTTGCTTAACCTCAGCTTTGCAGATAATGAGACAATCATCTACAAACAGTAGGTGAGAAATACTTGGGCCATTCCTGCTCAAAGTGATTCCTTGGATCTTCTTATGCACCTCCTTTTTGGGAAGCATTCCGGAGAGTATTTGCATTCCCATAATGAATAAGTATGGTGATAGTGGATCACCTTGCCTTAGCCCATTTATTGAGTGAAAATAATTATTTGTTTGTTCCCTTTATTTTGATAGAGAACCTTGGTGTTTCCATACACCATTCGATCATTTTATACCGTTTTGTTTGGGAACCCCATACATTGAAGAACTTTAGTAATGAAATATCTCCTCATTCTATCATAAGCATTTGACATGTCAATCTTCATTAGGATCCAGCCTTTTCCCTTCATTTGCTTTCTCATTTTACGTACAATTTCTTTGGTTAGGATAATGATGAATCATTTTTTGGTGATATATCAATTTTTTGTGCTAAGTACCTCATCATTTGGTCTGCTTCCAAGTGGCCGATGACTCAGAGGTTGAAGTGGAGAACTTTTGCTGGATGAGGACCTGGATGCCGAGCTGACCAGGCCGAGCTGGGGGCAGATTAGGTGTCAAGCTGACTGATCTGAGCTGGGCAAGTTAGGTGTCGAGCTAACCAAAGTGTCGAGCTGCCTATTAGATGCCGAGCTAACAAGAGTGTCGAGCTGTATTGATTGTTGAGCTTCGTAGTTCTTTAGAGACCTACAAGGAATCAAGGTGAGAGGATTCGGGGTGGCTAACCCAGTGAGGTCGCTCCGATGCTTAAGTCAGTACTCTCATAATAGATTGCGAACTAAGAATCACAAAGTATGAGAGCTATAATATGTTTACTTGCCCCCCCCCTATGCCATTGGGGTTGGTGCTTTTATATAGGCATTATTTGGCATGGGCTTCATGCACTGCATCCGAGATTTCCGAGAGGTCACCTAAGTGGTCCAAGATTCTTGAAGGCAACCGCCATGCACATTGACCACCCTCTGGAACGTTCAGTACGTGAGCCAACTTTAAAGGATCATGGGAGTGTTGGGATATGCATGCCGAATTTGTCAGCGAGCACGTCTCGCAGGTTGCCAGGCCACCATCATCTTGGCTAAGGCAAGTTGTTGCCTAAATGGTTCCAGGTATCACCTAATTGTTTCGATATGCCATGTGTCACAATGACATTGGAGAGCCAAATCCGCCCTCATCAAATCACATTATTTACACACTTTCTTCATTCGATGAAAACTGACTGATTTGGATCAATAAATCTATCCATGTGATTTTGCATTATGAGAACCAAACACTTTGCTATTATTTTGTAGATAACATTACATACACTTATGAGTCTGAATTGACTGATTGCTTCCGGAATTTTTTACTTTTGGGATGTACACTAAATTTGTTGAATTTAATTATTTTGGAAATTTCCCGAATTCAAAGAAATCTCTTTCCACATTGCAAACATCTACATTTACTGTATCCCAGATTTTTTTGTAAAAGTATGCTGAGAAACCATCTGGGCCCAAGGCAGAGTGAGATTTTAATGATTTGACAAGTTGCTCAATTTCCTCATTTGTGGGAGGCCTTAGTAGTTCTTGAGCATCCTCCTCCGAAAGTTTCTCCTGTATTGAATCATGTATCTAGGGAATATCATCATGAATATTGTTGCACACCTCCTTTGCTTGGGCCTTAAAGGCTTTGGCTACTTAGTGTTACATAATTATTAAATGCTTAAAAATAAAAACTGTAGTTATGGTTATTCTGAATGCTTTTTATATTGCCACATGAAGAAGAAAATGAATGGAGCGTTTCTGCAGCAACAGGCTTCCCCCCGTGTAATTTTGCGTTTCTTCTGTTTAAGTTCTCTTTCCTTTATTTAGTACATCTGCTCATGTACTCCTTGTCTTATTTAATGAAATCTGATTAACTTTTTCTCAAAAAAAAAAAAGAAAAGAAAAAGAAAATGAATGGAGTTTGAAACTATAGTTTTAGTGATAAAGGACATGCTCCAAAAGAAATGGATGTAATTTGAATGATCATTAGAAATTTAGAATTTAGAAAACAGGATTTTAAATTTTGGTTTTAAACTTCAAACCAGGTTTTGATCTTTAATTAGGCTTGAAGCCTCGAAACTAGAATTTTAATTGAAACATTGGTAGTTTTTTTATTCACTTGGGAATTAGAGAACTTGCTTATATTAATAGGAGCAAATTCTGGTTAAATTTTCATAACTGGATGAACATGTTTGATATACCTTGCTTGCTAGTTGTAGTTGGTACTTTTAATGAAGGTGTATCTACCAATTTAAAAATTTAAATGTTTTGCCTAGTTTTATTGGTAAGAAGTCTATTTATTATATGAAATACATTTCAAAATATTTATTGTATTTTTTTTATAGGAATTTGCAATTTTGAACTTCACTGATTCATTGATTCATATTTTGTAAATTGGCTATTGGATTGCGTCAGGTGTGTTCTTCATCCCATTTTCCCTTTTTTTCAACACACATTTAATAGTTATTGGACCATTATACAATAACTTAGTCACACATGATTACATAAAATTTCAATTATTTGTTTATTTTATGCTTTTTATTAATTATATGAACCAATGTTTTCAAAACCGGTTCAGACTGGAAAATTTGGGAACTGTTCACATGACTGGTTCTGTTTCACCGCAAAACCATATTTTTGCCAAAAACTGTTGATTTGGTCAGCAAACTGCTGACAGTCAAACCATTTGATCCACCAACCCAGACAACAGTTTTTGACTGTTTTTTTAATTTTTTTTGTTAAAACGGACCATTCATTCGGTTCGAACGGTCAAACGGTTTGACCCGGGAACTGGACCCCTAAACGGTTCGTTGTCCGGTTCGGAACTATGTCCATAATTTTTAATTTTTTAGTTAGAGGCTTACACCTCGCCTCCGCCTTGAGGCTTTTAAAACCTTGATATTGGCAAAGGTTTGCTCTCCACTGCGAGGTTTGTTTCACACACCGTCGAACTCCAACCTACCATAGCTGCTTAACAAAAAAGAAATATAAACAACTTCGAATAGGGCAGGTATGTCAAGTGAGTTTCTTCTTCCCAGTTTTCAGTCCGCCCTACACCACTTATTCTTCTTGCCCTTTTTATTTTCTGCTCTTTTTCTTCCATATCAGGGGCTTTGCCCCATTTCACTATGTTTTCTTTGTGATTTCTGGAATGAGACAGGGGCTCCGCCCCTTCTTTTCTTCTTCATTTTCCTACAACCTTTTTCGCCCCCCCCCTTTTTTTATCTTCAATGGTGGGCTGAGAGAATGGATCTGCCCTCTTTTTTATTCATTTATCTGCAAAATTTTTACCTTTGTTTTTCCTCAAAGGTAGTCTGAATGAGGGGTTCCACCTCCTTCATTTTTCTTCTCCCTTTTGTTGTTTCATTTTAGCAATTTTCTCTTTGCTTTCTTGGTTTGAAACATGGGTTCCGCCCCCCCTGTCTTCTTCTTGGACCAAAACAGGGGCAACACTCCCAATTTTGTTCTTCTAATTTTTGCATTTTTTTCTAACTTTTCTTCTGCATAAGTTCAGACTCTGTTTATTCTCTTTTTCTTCATACTTGAAGCAATAACCACGTGCACAAATTGACAAGTGGTTTTAGGTAAGCTACATACCTGCATATAATTAAAACTTCAAATTGAATTAGTTAGATTCAGAATTTCAGATCTAATTACTATTTAGTATTTACTAGTTAATGACTTAACTATTCACTGTTCAGTATTACTAGCTTAGGAGGGGTAGGGATTTATGGATTTCCTATTTCATCGCCTAGGCGCTTGGGTTCCCTGTGGTCGCCTAGCCTCATCTAGACGCCTTGAAAACTATGTACCATTCAGCATGCATAATAATTAAGAAATAGCAATTCAACATTAAATTTGCTCTAAAAATGTGGCAAATCATCATATCTACGTCCGCTGTGGTCATTTACTTGAATGTCCTCAGTGCTCTCTCCATGGGACCTGTATCTATATACTTGCAATAGTTTTACTGTATTGCCCTTTTAGTTGTTTCCTGTAGTTTCTTGTAACTGGTCCCTCTACAACCTTCCTTATATTTATATTTATATTTACATCATCAATGAATTACCCACCTTTCAAAAAAAAAGGTTGGTGGGCTGAAGCTCAACCATTGCCCAGATCCACCTCTATCCATGGCTAGGGTGGGTTATTACAAGTATTGAACTGGAATGGCTCTTTGTTTCTTAAAAGTCAATGCTAAGGATACTAATTTGTTTTCTTTTCTTGTACCGTTATTGCATACCACATCTTCAAATTTTTGTCATTCCTTATTGGCAGATCTGTGATGTAATCATGTAAAGGGTCTAAGTGGATCACTTTTGGGCTGTACAGGTGCATCATGCACATAACATTCCAGATCTGTGATTTAAGGGGCTGTTTGATACAACTGAAATGGCTGAACTGAATCATTTACTGGTTTGTCTTTTAGGCTTTGTTTGGTTTGAGAAGGTGGTTGCATTGAAACCGCAACTCCCTTTCTTTAGGTTTTTAGAATGGATTACTCTGACATTTGCTTTTATTTATTCATTGAACATTAGACCTATATTTAGTAATCTTGAGAAGATATAATAAGACTTCTTCAGGTTAGGGGTTTGGGGGTACAATTGGCATCGTTGCAAACTTAAGTGTCAGAAAGGAGATTTTTGTTGGTCACAATGACTTGGGGAAAACTATAACGTGTTTAGGAATTTTGTTAAAAGATTTGTGAAGGAAGTAGTTCCTTTTTTTGCTCTTTTTTTTTTTCACTGTGAAGGTTTGTGGATGGAGGCTATCTGTTTGGGGATTAATACAAGACTTGCATGTTAATTGAAAAGTTAGGGTGGGAAAGGGGATTAAGTATAGTGATGAATTGTTCACATTTTTATAAGCACTTGCTTGGGCCTTGCTTTTGCATAGCCCAATTGGCATTATAACCCCTTAGTTTTTTGTATTCTCTTAGTGTCCGTTTGGGAGGGCTTTTGTGCAACAGCTTTTGGTTTGCAAGGTGGGCCCTGCATGGGCAGCCTATGAGCTATATTTAGGGAAAAACCTAGAAATCCTAGACTTGCTGAAATTCAACAAAAAATTTGGCCTTCTGGGGAAGCTTGTCTTAGTAGCTTCTTCCAAGCAGCTGAGTGAAAGTAGCTTAATCAAAGCTTCATCCCTTTCAAATAGGCCCTTAGATTATTGCCCTTCATACTTTTGTGAAGATATGGAGTGTAAGGTAGGCATTGTGATAATGGTCTTAGCTTTAAAGAACATGAGTAGGACACAGAGAAGGAAAAGATAGCAAGAAAGCTAGAAAGAGCAACTTTAAGGATGGATAAAGGGATGAGGTCAGAACTCTGAGAGAACTCTAGGAGAATAATTGGAGCTCTGATGTGTCTCTACCATATATATATGGGATATCCCCTTATCACATCAAGGTCCCTTCTATTTATAGGCGAAAAGGGAGAGCCGTTTTTGCATACGCATTTATCATGATTTCCAGAAAGTTCGCTGGTCAGTTATGGGTTCAATTCATGTAGTGGATTCACTTTATTCCATACCTGCAGTCTCTTACTACGTGTCACATTTGAGGGGACACGTTCTGTCATAACTCATAAGTAACAGTCATTGCAGTTGTTTGTTTCCCAGATTTTGTCTTTTGTGAGCATAGTCCACAGACTTGCTTTTTATACTTAGTGAATTTGTGGTTCGTCTGTTTCTTTTGATTTGTCTCTAACGCGTGTGAACACATTTTACTTTAAGAGCTTACTCTCCTTTTTAGTAGGTCCATGGATTCAGACATTCAGTTGGTTTGGTCTTAGTGGTCAGTCCGTTGTATTAATTAGGTTAGTCCCCTTACAGTGAGAGAAGTCTTTTAGGGTATCATATACTTTGTTTTGTTAGATATGATGTTTGTTCAAGGGATTTGGTTAATTTTTGGGAGGGTACATTGGTTGGTTCATGCCTGTTAAAGGATCTCTTTCCTTCCTTATACTTGGTTTCTATGTATAAAAATGAGTGTGTTTCAAAATCCATTGTTCCTCCCTTACTCCCTATGGGTCATAATTGGGACTTTAGTTTTCGTAAATGTTTAAGGGGCGATGAACTAATGGTTTGTTTAGGTCTCCTACAAAATTTTCAATATGTGTGTCTAGACCCCGATAAGCAAGATAAGTGTATTTGGGCTCCCATCCTAAGGTTTTTGTTTTCCTATGCTTCTTTATTCAAGTGTCTTTGTAATTCCATGACCTTTCCTTCTTTGCCCTTAAGAATTCTGGTGTAGACCCATTCCACACAAATCTTTTTGTTGGGAAGTATTCATGGGAAGATTAATACTTTGGACATGCTATAGAAAAGAAGACCCAATTCATGTCTCTCTCCTAATTGGTGTGTTTTATGTAAATCTAGTAATGAGAGTTTCTATGACTTGTTGATCTCCTATCCCTTTGTTGTAGTTATTTGGAGTTGGTTTTTTTATTTGTTTGGGTGCAAGTGAACTTTATCAACAGAGGTTAGTATACTATTTGATCCTTCTACATTTACTTGGCCCAAAAAAGGTGAAGAATAATGTGGAGATGTGTGAGAGCAGCCTTGGTTTGGACTATTATGGAAGAGAGGAATGCAAGGAATTTTTTAGAGAAGGAAAGGAGCAAGTAAAGCTTAGGGTTTGTATGATGGTCAAGGTGCTCCATTGGATCGAGACTTTGGAGCTGTTTTCTCAGTTCTCCTTTGGTGATGTCTAGAGAATTTGGGAAGTAGTTCCAGAACTCTTCTAGAAGGGAAAGAGCAGATGTTCATTGGCTATCTCCACCTAAAGGCTTTGTAAAGCTGAATTTTGATGGCAGTAGTTGAGGTAATCCAAGCCCTTCTGGAATAGGAGGGGTTTTAATAGATATAAAAGTTAAACTCAATAGCGTTGTTTTCTGGCCTTGTGGGTATGGGCGGCTCTCTCAAAGCAGAATTGCTCACTGCAGTACAAGGAGTCCAAATTGCTAATGAGCTGAACATAGCGAATGTCACGATTGAAGGGGACTCAAAATTGGTGGTGGGGTGGCCAAAGGATCCAGAATCCATAATTTGGTACTATAGGAGTGTAATTTGTCTTTTGTTTTAATGATCCAGAATCCATAATGGTTGAATATGACTCATTTGTCTTGGGCTCAGGTGTAATTTGTCTTTTGTTTTAATATAGAGAGGTAGCACCTCATGCCTCTCTAAGGGCTGCTTATAATGTTCCATTACTTTGAATTTTAATAAAGTTTGAAGGTACTTACCAAAAAAAAAGTCTTTCAGGGTATCCCAACCCATTGTTAAAGGGAAAAAACCTGCTTCCTCACAAGGGTGCAACTTGACTTGCTAAATTGTGATGTTCGAATCTGGAGGTGTAATAGGGTTATTCTCCACCATCTCCTTTAAATGACTGACTTACCTGTTTTGGACTTCCCCAGCATCAGAATATGGATTCCGTTTCTTCAAAGGTTTCATTCCTAGTGTGGACTGCAATGCTAGGAAGATGGCCTCATAGAAGAGGCATTCTGATTGACTCTGATTTATGTGTAATTGTGGGCAGGAAAACATGAGGGACCACCTGTTTGTGCATCGTAAGGTGGCTGTTGTAGTTTGGGCAAGATTTACTAGCCTCTTCAAGGTTGTGGGTTGGTTTTCAGGCCAATCTGGATTCACTGCTGTTAAGATGAAACTTAAGGGGCTTATCAAGGAAAGGGAAAGTGCTCTGGAACTGTATAGTGTATACTGCAGTGATTTGGAACATTTCAAATAATTTGTATACAGATGTACTCCTTAGCACATAGCTCAGTTTTGGTTTCGAACAATTTGTATACAGATGTACTCCTTAGCCAAAAAAGGGGTTCTGAGGGCAGCAATTGTTTTGGCATCCTTGTAACATGGGCTTGTGAGAAGGGACTGACACTTTGGCCAATGAAGTTGTATTAATCATTCATACTTTCCAAGTTAATATAATAAAACTTTGCTGAAAAAAGATTTGTATACAGATATGTAGATAGGAGAACTAGTATACTTGTATGTTTCATTGTAGACAATCTTTTTATAATGGGCTTTTGAAATTTGAAGTACTCTTAATGAAATATACTTATCTTTTCTTTCTAAAAAATCCCTGCTTCCTCAAGCACATACCAATGAACTCCAAAAAACAATCTTTTGTGTAGTACCAATCAGGATACACATCTTGAAATCCATTTTCTTTTATCATTTCCCCATTCTAGTTGGCTACTTGGCATGCCATGCCAAAACTATGTGAAAACTGAGATTGCCAAAAACTGAGATATCATTTGCTGAAGCTTCCCTAAATGTGAGCTTGAAGTGGAAAGATGCCTTTGTAACTTGTCTTATTCACAGACTTGTTTGCTTCTTAGGTATTTTTGCCCCTCTTTTGGCCTGCCTTTTGTGAGTTTACCCTTCTTTGATAAATTTATGGTTTGTTGCTAGGAAAATCTCCTCCATCAAGTAATATTTTAGTAGAAGATCAAGACTGTAATCAGTCTTGAATCCTAATAGGTTTTAGGTTTACAAAATAGAAGAAAAGTGAGAGAAAGAAGAGAGAATAGAAGAGAAACAGGAGAACACAAGTGGTTGAAAGGAGGAACAGATTCTAACWGATCTGCCGCCGCCACTTTCTTATTATTTATAGGTTATGTTTAGTACACAATGGAAAGGACATATCTGCCCTTAGTACTTACATAATAAATAAAGTAAATAAAAGCTGAAATAAATAACAACTGAATTAACAAACTGACTCAAACTGACACCACTATAACTGAAACAAATAACTACACATGCTGTCCTACGAACACAGTGGGGACCACTGCAGTGGGGCCCACATCAGTGTTCTCTACAATTTTCATTACTGATGATCAACTGCATCTTTGTATTTTGTGTTTCCATTTTACTATATGCATGATTTGCACGTGAGTTTGATATCTTACTTGAACCAGATGCCAACAGCAAATTCAGATGGATACTTGATAAAAATGCTATTTCCGGAGCTGTTGTAACACAATTCAACCTGTCAATCATGACTTGTAATTTTGTCCTTGACAATGTCTGTACTAGATTTTTGATCAGTATACCGGAACTTGAATATTGCAATTTAGCTTCCAATTTTCATATATTTTTTTTGAATAATTTAATCTGGCTAACATGGTCAAACCCCAAAGAAGACCTTCTAACTCAATAGGTGGTTGCTATTGGTGCATGTTTGCTGGAATTGCATTTTGTAACAAAATCTTTCCTTATTTTGACCTTTTCATGGTTCAGAAGATCTTTCCTTTTTAGGCAACCCATTAGGTGGTTGTGTCATCTGAGCAGAACGTATCAGTCTGTATCATCAAGTGGCTGATGCTGATATTAACACTTTTCTTGTTTGTTTATTTATTTTTATTATCATTTACATTTATGTGTGGTTATTGCTGATCCCTTGCATCATACTTTATGCTACTTCTAATTGGTGTCCCTCGATGTTTTACAGCTCACTCCTGTAAACTTTTTTTTGTATTTCATACATTCTCTTGCTTCATGTTTTATATGTTTTCTCTTATTCATAATCTGTGCACATGCTCTGGCTTGTTTTTTCACAATATTTTTACCTTGTCCTATTGTTTTGTACTTTTACCCTCTTACACTTGTCACGAGTTATTTTCACTTGTTGATTTCTATGTTTTTAGCTTGTTTGTTATTCAATCTGATCAATCTTTATGCTTGTAACAGACATTTTTGAAAGAGAAGGATGGCTCACTTTCAATGTGGTAGAAATATCCTGCGCCAGATCGTTAAGGATAAAAGTCTTCATAGTTTTGATATTATAACTCACCCATTATTGTTCACTAGTCAAGGACTCAGATACAGAAAGTTGGAAATAATTCTTACAACAGTGAGTAAATGGATTTGTGAACCCCTCCTTTAATTTCATTTCCAACTTATTTCAAGTTAAAATTTTGACACTAAGTTGAACATTCAGAGCATAGAGAAGCTTGGCAAGGCTGGTGAAATGGTGAAGGTTGCTCCTGGATATTTTCGCAACCACCTGATGCCTAAGTTGCTTGCTGTCCCAAATATTGATAAGTACGCTTATCTCATCCGTGAACAGCGAAAGGTCCAGTCATTTCCCATGCCTATTTAACGTGAACCGTTTTTTTCCTGTTTCTTTTTGGATGTTGAACAGATGATTATCCTTTGACATTCAACTGGAAGGGATCTCTATTACTATTATGTCTCAACAGTTTCTGATCAACTATCTATCTATCTAAACAGGCATGTACAGACACTAATTGGAGTGATTGACCATGCTTGATGATCTCCAAGGAACCAATGCCTTTTTTGAATATTATGCAAATGCACTAATAGGAGTGATTGCTTTTCAGTACTGACTGGAGGGAAAACAAAAAGAACAAGAGAATATATACATATTGGAGAAAAGCTAGGATGTGTCTCTTTTCCCATCCCTTGGCTTCTGTTTGAAGTTGCTAGTGTTGAATTAGTGAGGTAAAGGATTATCACTTCTGGCAAGCGTAGTTTGCAATGCACTGAGGCGAACCCAGGTGACTGAGGGGGGTGCCTTGTTGCTTAGTTGCCTAGGTGGTGGGTTTTTCCTTTTATAATAAAAAACATAAACCCTAGGGTAGTTCCCTAGTTTTATAATAATTTGCAGTAACATTTGACTAATAATTACCACAGTGTTCATAAAATAAGTATAAACCTCATACAAAAAACATATCAACATATTTATGAGAAGAAGCAAGGTTCCAACCAGCTGGTTGGTAAGGTCTCCGGCTGGTCATAGTGGAGACTTGGGATTGAGTCCCGCCTGCACCTGGGTTGGGGGATGGACTACCCCCTGTTTTTTTTTTTGATAAATAAAATCATCTTCCATTATTTCAAAGATTGGTTACATGAAAATTCCCTTAGGGGCGCGAAGTACCACCTCTCCAAACAGAAAATACATAAACTACAACAGAGGTTACATGAATGTTGATGTTAAACAAGAGTTACAGTTGCACCCAGAACAATGTTTCCCTATTTGTCCCTTGTTTTTCCAAGACATCGGCAAATGCATTAGCTGATCTCCCAACCCACTGTACTGTTATAGACATATTTCTTGTCAGCCATTTGAATTTCTTTAACTCATGTTTGTAGCCCCAAGTGACATCCTCCAGATTATTTAACCAGTCCACCACTGTCTTAGTATCCCCTTCAATCAGAAGCTGCTCCACGCCCACTTCTTTTGCAATAAGTATTCCTTGTATTGCAGCTAACAGCTCTGCCCGGATAGAGTTCCCAATACCTAAAGGGCCAGAGTAGAGTAAGACAACCTCTCCAGCCTCATTTCTCAGTACACCCTCCCATCCCAGGGGGACCCGGGTTACCCTGGCTATTCCCATCAACATTCAGCTTAAAAAAAACATATTTATGAGAAGAAAAAAGAAGAAAGAAAAGAACATACAGAAAACATAGGGGTTGAACCCTTGTTTTTTCCTTATAGGAATAATAACAATAATAAGAATAATAATTCTTTGGTTGTTCTTGTGTGCTGATAGGATACAATCTTCAAGTTCTTGTTGGTTCAGGGTTTGTAATCTTGGAGCATTCAAGACTACATTACTGATTTGTGTGTTGATTGAACCCAAAAAATAAGAAAACAATAAAAAGTAACTGGTATAAGCATATAAAAATATTGTAAACCCTGAAAATGAATAATCTAGTGTGATAATATCTTTTGTAATATTTTAAATATGACAAAATAAAACAAATATAAAAATACTTTGTAGCACCTTCTTCACAAATATGTAGGCAGTTGGGTGAGGAGACCCTCCACAGGTGCCTTGTCATCTAGGTGTCACCTTGACATCTATGCTGGCAAGGCCTTAAAGGCCCGTCCCATTGTTGAAGTTAACTCGATGTGAGTATAATACAACACAACTATAGACTTCAGGCCTGTAAGGCTGAGTTGCAGGTCATATTAAGTTTCTAACAATCATCTCCATTACAATATGGGCATGTTGGATAAATAAAAAAGATTGAAAGTCATCTACTTGGAAAAATTGCAATTGGTAGAGTTGTAAGTAGAGAGAAGGGTTGTAGGGTGGTAGAGAGAGTAGGAATGGTGCTTTCTCTGTAAAGTCATTTTATGGAGCTTTGTGAGGAATCAAGTGGATAAATTGGATGTGAAAGGAGTTTGGGGGAATCCCATTCCACCCAGAGTGGAGGCTTTTGCATGGCTAGTTGTTTGGGATAGTATTCTTGCTCAAGATTACATCAAAAGCAGGGGAATTCAGATGGCAGGGAGGTGATGCTTAAGTTTTGCTGAAGAGAAGAATGTAATGCATTTATGTTTCGAATACTGTTTCTTGAAGTACATTTGGGGATACTTCTTCAGCCTCTTTAATATTGACAAGGAGCCAAGATCGCTTAAAAAGTAGTTGCTCGTTGGTCTACTTTGAGAGGAAATAGGAAGGCGAAAATTACATGGAACTGTGCTTCTTTTGCTATATGTTAGGAAGGCCACTCAAGGAGCAGGGGTCAAATTGTAATATCTAGTGGAACAAGAATTCTGGAATGGATTTTAATCTTAATAGAATTAGAGGGGGTGTCAAAAGGAATCTCATGGGAATGGGTTTTGGTCTCTAATTGGAGTCAGTGGGCTGAATTATTGTATTGATGTTTTTGATGTTGTATTGTTTTTTTTTTTGATCAATAACACTTTCATTAATTCATCAATAGAAGATTTACAAAAGGAAGACAAATACGCTTATCTTCCAAGAGCAACAAAGAACCTCAAGAAAAGGAAAAAAAGAAAAAGAAAAGAAAGAGAGAAAGAAAACACACTACAGTTACAGCTTGGCCCAAAAAAGTGAGTCCCTTTCTGC